ATCTTCCTGACACACAGAAAGCCCTCAGTCCACTGGGACTCTCATGGAAATCACTAGATTCCTGTTTAGAGGCATTTGGAGCTTGGGAACCCAGGCATTGTCATTTACTATTTTATGACCTTGAGCAAGTTATACATCCTCTGAGTTTCTATTTCCTCATCTTAAAAAAAAAATAAGGGCAATAATACCAACTTCACAAGTGGTGAGTCAGGTTTAAAATATCACATGGAAAACACTCAGCTGCATTTCCTGGAACTCAGTATAGCAGCTATAAGACACTCATAGACATTTGGGCAATAAAATTACATTTAAAAGGCTAAGACTATCAGCTCTTGAAGTTCTTGAAAATACTCCAGAGCATCTATAAACTACCTGAATTAGATACATTACTGCATGTGAACATCTGTATGTATGAGCCCATGTGGATTTTGGGGGGGGGGGAGTTAATTGCATAAGCTTCTCATCTGTATTGATTATATTTTTTAGAAGTTGTGAACCCTTGCTTTGCAGCTGCCACTGTCCCAATCTACATATATAGCCCCTTGCCTGCATCAACACAAAACCCCTACATTCTTTGCTAATTAACAGATTCTCAAGTGTTTACTCTTAGACAAATATAGAATCCTTCTTTGGCTTATTTGGGACAGAAATTAGTATTATGTACCACTGTCATATAATACACCTTAGAAAACACATGCAAAAAAGTTGCCTGGCAGTTTGCAAATCACGCTGAGTTGGAGAAAAATATACTTGCCAGAAATCAGAAATAAATCTCTCTCTCTCTTTTTTTTTTTGAGAGATGGAATCTTGCTCTGTCATCCAGGCTGGTGTGCAGTGGCATGATCTCAGCTCATGCTTACTGCAACCTCCACCTCCCAGGTTCAAATGATTCTTGTGCCTCAGCCTCCCAAATAGCTGAGACTACAGGTGCACACCATCATGTCCAGGTAATTTTGGTATTATTAGTAGAGACAGGTTTCACCATGTTGGACAGGCTGGTCTTGAACTCCTGACCTGAAGTGATCTGCCTGCCTTGCCCTCTCAAAGTGCTGGCATTACAGGTATGAGCCACCATGCTGACTAGAAATAAATCTCTTAAATTTGGAGATGGAACAAAAGAAATGGTCACTTTCATAATATCTTTAGTTCTCCATATCGCCCTAATACAAAAAAAGTGACTCAATTGAAATATAAAAGTCTGAGGTCTGTAAATGCACATACCAAAAATTCAAAGGAGACCCACAAAGCTGAAACACAGAATGGATGTGAAGATGACAAGTGAAGTAGAGTAAGCAGGTGTGACCTGCCCAAACATCCCTAATAAACATAATAGCAGTAATGATAATAATAATAGCAATGGTGATACCATAATTTATAGCTGTAACCCTTGACTTTAATCAAAGCACTTTTCATATACATGTGTCAGGCTGATACAATGACTGTCATTTCATAGACTGTGACATGAAGGTTCAGAGAAGTTCACATCTGGTCCACACCACAGTTATTGAATAGGGAGGCTGAGGCCTAGCTACACATCCCCCATTTCTAAATACTGTGGTTTAACATTTTACTTTAGATCACCGAATAAATGTTAGGCATTAATCCTTCACAATGTCTGGATATGTTGTTAATTGTTCACTGAAATCCAGAAAAATCAAGGTACTAGAGAACACCAATTCACTATTTTCTCTACTGCTGTGAAATTCGTGTTGGTGGATGGGGTAAGCTGGTACGAAGGAAACATCAAGGAAGTAGCAAAACAAGAAACTTGGCCTTAGAGTCCTTTGAAGCTATTTTTAAAAGTAAAATGTTATGTTAGGAACTATGTGGTGTATCTCTCTGCGTATGTAATTATTATTCCATTGATTTATTGCACACATGTCAAAGAGTGTCTGGGCATTTGTGCAAGTTCAAACAAACCAACCAAAGAGCCAACCCACATAGCCACAAACCGAGACAACTTGCTCATACCCCTCACTCCACCCTTCATCTTACCAACTCCCAAAAGCAAATTCCCCAGCAGCACAAATCTTCCTTACAGAGATGAACCATTAAACCATGACATCTGTCATTTATACTATTCTAAAAGAGCAGCCAGAGCCAGTTGATGGCACAGATATAGCAGGGCTCTTCCCATTCTAAAGAGAGCCCCTTTCAGTTTTGGCAAAAGCTTTCAGCAATGACTACGGAATCAAATTGCAAAGAGCTAACACATGTAACCTCCTTTGAGGATGAGCACCATATCTTTTTTTCATATCTTTTATTTTAGGTTCATGGGTACATGTGCAGGTTATATAGGTAAATTGTGTGTCACAAGTTTGGTGTACAGATTATTTAATATGAATTTAAACTCAGATTTTTCATCATAGGGCATGATGAAAGACAACCTATCTCATCTACTGAATACTCACCCACTAACCCACCACACAGTAGGTAGAAAGATTCTTGTTTACCTCTGGTATCCCGAAGTGTGGGGAAATCACTTTAAAGTATTCTACTTTGCTGCCAAAAATCTTCTGACTATAATCCAACAGTTAGAGCAATTTCGACCTAAATTGCTCCCCCTAAGAGACAGACATAATTAGGTAAATTTCTCCTCTGTTTCCATATACAAAGAGATCTTGTAAGGAAAAAAGGCAAAAGAAAATTCCTTAGCCATTTCCAGCTGATAAAATCAGTAATCTCCCAACTTCAAAGCAGACAACTTAGAAAATCATCTCACTTTCTCTGCACATGGAGAATCATTTTTTTCTACTTCAAAGCACCATCTCTTTATTGGGTCATTTTAATTATTGAAAGTGGGACAAAAGCTATCCATATAATGTCACCACTGTCTTTTTCATGAAATATGTATAGGTCTAATTTGGACTACATTAATTTGAGAGAGATAAAATATAGGGAGGGGAATGAGAAAGAGAAGAAGCCAAGGAATAAAGCCCTCATCAGTACAAGATAGTGAGAGGAAAAGCCTTTCTGAGCTGACTGCTCATTCATTTTCCCTGCAGAGGAACCATCAGGAAACCTGACTAATGGTTTGGGCAAGCAGACTACCTTGCTTCTCAAATTCTCTCCTACCCAACAACACACAGTAACAATATTACACTAACTGTATCGGTAATCCTGGCATTATTGACAAAACATGGGTACAAGCAGTTGCTTTTTGAATAATACAGTGAAGAAAAATGTGTAATCTAGAACAGCGGTCAGCAAACTATCTTGCTCCATTTAGAGTACCACAGCCTGAGAGAAGACTAGCTGGGCATTCTAATGCCCACTCATTCCTCTTCCCACAAAATCACAATGCCAGAAATTGGCAAACTTTCTGTAAAAAGACAGACAGTAAATATTTTCAGCTTTGTGGGCCATACAATATCTATTGCAACTGCTCAACTCTGCTGTTGTAGCACAAAAGCAGCCAAAGATAACATGTGGATGAATGGGTATGGCTGTGTTCCAATAATACTTTATTTACAAAAGCAGGCACAGGGCCAGATCTGGCCCACAAGCCATAGTTTTGGTTGACCCCCCATTTGAGACAAGTACTCAATGGTAGAAATGTTCTCTAGCTGTGCTGTCTAATACAATAGCCACTAGCCACATGTAACTGTTAGTACTTGATATGTGGCTAATGTGACTACAGAAATACATTTTAAATTTCACTGGATTTTAATTAATTTCAGTTTACATAGCCACATGTGGCTATAGTCTTAACACAGTTCTAAATGGTATTCACTGCTGCCTCCTGAAAGGAGATACAACCCAACTTCCAATTTATAGTATAGATTAAGTGTTTGTCTTAAAAAATAAAATATCCATATCTTTGCATTCACAATGGAACTATACACAACTGAAAATGATATTTCTTAAATGTGAAATGTCTACATCATTGAGGCCAAGGTGATTGTTTTGAATTGAAGCAATCAGTTAACTGCCTATCAGCCAATGGTCAAAGGCATAGGGGCTGAGTCAGGTTCATGCTAAGACCTATCCAATCTGGACCATGTTTTCTTCCACCTCTGGACACTGTCCTGAACCTTAACTGAGAGCACAGACTTAATCAACAGTACCATTAACTCCTAAGACAAATCCAAACCTCCCCACAGATGCTAAAATATATACATGCAAAGACACAGCTCAAAGAGTCCAAGAGAGAGCATGCATGTTGATTAGAATGCCTTCTAAAGTAATGCACACAGCACAGTGCCTCAATACAAAATCAGGGAGATTCACCATATTTTTCCCTATTGCCTGCTGCATCTGACGACTATTTTATTTACACAATAACTAGCTTTTGTTTTGCATTTCTTAGCAGACCCAAAGATATAATCCAAAAAGGAAAAGCAAGGAAAATAGGATAGTAACATATTTTTGTTGTTCTTCTAAGCATGAATAAGAGGTAACAAACCAGTATTTCCTTTGAGAAACTCACACAATATCAACTGTCTCCAATGGGTAAAAGAAATGGAAGATATTTCCTAGTAAATAAGAAACCTTTGGAAACACGGGTGCCGAAAGGGGAACCCATACAGATAATGCACAGCAAAGTAAAGCAGATGACATGCCAGTTATTTTGTGATTTTTGATAAAGTGAAATCATTCTAGATCCAAGCCCTTAACTAGGGTTACCAAATCCAAAATGCTCTGAAGAATGAAAAAAAGAAATTCCAAGTGTGAACCAAATAGCTTTGGTGGCACAACATGACACAAACTGACAAGAGTCTAGTTATACAGTCTTTATTTATCCTACTTAGTGTGAGAAATTTTTTTACTGCAGAAATATTCATGTGTTTGCTTATGGGGTGTTGCTACAATTTCACTTGCAGTGTTACACAATCTATACAGTGCATCTTGCCTTTCTGAAAGCCCAACAAATATGAACTTCAAAATACATCTGGCCCCAAGGGTTCGGATAAAGGGTCTTCTGAGGAAAGTTGTTCAGGTAGGGCATTTTCTATCAATTCAATATCTCTGCTGTATAGAATCCTGAGACAGCGCCTTACCTCAGTCTGAAGGATGGCAGCCCTCTGTTCTTTGGCAGTAAGTGACTCTTTGAGCACTTCAATGTGTTGCTTGCAATCTGAATTTTGATTGCTAAGAGTTTCAAGCTTTGTTTGTAAGGCAAGAAGTTCTGACTCCTTCTTTGAAAGTTCCTGCTTCAGCTGATCAATCTGCAAAACAACAAAATTGAAAGAAATTAGAAATTGCTGCCCCTACACTGTACATTGACAACTACTTCTTTCTTTCCATTTCAGCAGCCAGTGATCAATAATCCAACAAGGCAGGCCATGAATTTTCTTAAAAAGATGAGCTTGGGAATCACACAGTCTTTGGGATCTGGAGGAAAATCTGTAAAGGTTGCTGAGAGTATAGGAAATAGGAATAGAAAGGTCAGCAGACTGCCTCCCGTCCCACTGTGGGCCAAATTTCATAATGGAATGAAGCCTTCCTGGCCAAACCTACTCATCTATGAAACCACTAAGTCTATTACCACCATGGTCCTGAGGAGAATCAACAGGGATCTAACACAGTTAATTAAATCAAGGCATAACTCCACAGTGCGAATAATCATTCAAGGGCATCATTTGACAAAAGAATCCTAAAAAAACAAGAATTGGGGATCTTCTTTTTGCTTACATTAAATATTGAGAAGACACAAAAGAACATAAAATATACATAAGGTATAAGATAAAATGGCAAAAACGATCCATCACTCAATTCACCAAGAAAGATCACTAGAATTATCTACATCCCATACCATTTCTATCTCCTCTTCCCATTTGGAAATAATTACCACCTCAAATTTTGTGCTTATCATTTTTTTCCTTGTCTCTTAGGCTTATCATATATTTTTGCATCCATAAATAATATACTATTTGGTTTTGCATGTTTTTTAACTTTATTTGGGATACAAGCTTTTTTACTACTTTGCTTTTTTCCTACTCAATCTTATGTCCTGGAGATTAAATCACAATGTTGTATAGAGTTCATTCATTTTCTCTGAAGTAGAGTATTCCATTAAAAGACTTCATCTCAATTTATTTGTCCGTTCTGCCGTTGATAGAAATTTGGGTTTATTCTTAGGTTTTTTGCTACTATAAACAGTACTATTCTGAACATTCTTATACATATAACCTGTTTCACATAGCAATAATATTCTCTAATGTTTAAGATTTAAACTGCTGAACCATATAGCATATTCATCTTCAATTACACTAGATAAAACAAAAATATTTTCCAAAACAGTTCTATTAATTTACATGATCACAAGCACCTTGCAAGTATGCCAGTCACTCCACTTCTTCACCAATAACTTATGTCACTGGTCTTTTAGATTTTTGCCGATTTAATATGCATTGTGCCGGTAGATTATCTGCAGAGATATCATCTACTAATTCCTTCCTACTTGTACACAAATGTTGCTCCTCCCAACTAGAGCTGAAGTTTAACTTCTTCGTGAACCTGGGCTAGACTGTGACTTCCTCTGCCAACAGCAAAATCATCACCACGCCTGTTCTAGCCCTAGCCTACAGGAGGACTGGCAGGTTCTGCTTCTACCCACTGGAAGCCAGCCACCACGTTCTAGAAGCTCAACCATGCTGTGGCCACCATGCTGTGAGGAAGACCATACCAGACATAAGGACAGGCCATGCAGAAAGAGAGAGAGGCCTGGTGGTCATGTCAGCCCCTTTGTCTTGTTTCAGGTACTAAAGGAAAGAATTTCAATGTTTCAGCATTAAATTCTGTGTTTGCATTGGGTTTTTTATAAACATTTTATTAGGCTTTGCATTATTACAACTATGCCAAAAGTATTTTTTAATCATTAGTGAATATTTAACATTACCAAACATTTTCTTTTCTGTATCTCATGGTTTATCACCATCTTTCAACCTTGTATTGTAATGAACTGCATTAATGAAATTTTTAACTTTAATCTCCCCTGGAAAAAACCCATTCTGTCATTACTTTTTAAATTTATTTTACTTTAGGATTTAGGGTCCATGTGCAGATCATGCAGGATTGTTGCATAGGTACATACATGGCAAGGTGGTTTACTGGCTTCATGCCCTCATCACCTATACCTGGCATTTCTCACCAAGTTATCCCTCCCAATCCTCCCCACCTCCTGCTGTCCCTCCCCTAGCCCCCCACAACAGACCCCAATGTGTGATGCTTCCCTCCCTGTGTCCACATGTTCTCATTGTTCAACACCTGCCTATGAGTGAGAACATGTGGTGTTTGATTTTCTATTCTTGTGTCGGTCTGTTGAGAATGATGGTTTCCAGATTCATCCACGTCCCTAAAAAGGACATGAACTCATTGTTTTGTATGGCTGCATAGTATTTTATGGTGTATATGTGCCCATCCAAAAGTGGGCAAAAGATATGAACAGACACTTTTCAAAAGAAGACATATATGAGGCCAACCAACATATGAAAAAATGCTCATCATCACTGGTTGTTAGAGAAATGCAAACCAAAACCACAGTGAGATACCATCTCATGCCAGTTAGAATGGCAATCATTAAAAAATCTGGAGACAACAGATGCTGGAGTGGATGTGGAGAAATAGGAACACTTTTACACTGTTGGTGGGAGTGTAAATTAGCTCAACCATTGTGGAAGACAGTGTGGTGATTCCTCAAGGCCTTAGAAATAGAAATACCATTTGACCCTGCAATCCCATTACTGGGTATCATTCTATTACATATTTTTATATGTTACTAGATTCAGTTTGCCAATATTTTGTAAGGATTTTTAATTTATGCGTATAACGGAGATTGGTTTATAATTTTCCTATCCTATACTGTTCTTTCAGGTTTTAATATCAATTTAGCCTTCCAAATGAAGTAGGAAGTGTTCCTTCTTTTAATGTGTTCAGAAATGGTTCCTGTAAAATGGAAATTTTTTTACATTAATGTTCATTAGAAATCACCAGCAAAACCATTCAGAGATGCTATTTTATTTTTCCAAAGAACATTACTTACTAATCCACTTTTAATGGCTACAGGAATATTCAAGTTTCTAATTAGTTGAGTCAGTGTTGATACATTTTTTCTCTCAAAGAACTTTTCATCTAAATTTTCACACTTATTTGCAGGAAATTTTTATAAAACCCACTTATCATTATATAAACAGTATCTATGATTATGTCTTCCTTTTCATTCTAATATTCTACATTATTAACTTCTACTTTTCTAAGTTTTATTTTAGCTTTAACTAGTCTTTTTCCTGATGAATCTCAGTACAGGCATGTCAAGTTAAGTACTTTAATCGAGGAGCCAATTTGGCTATATTGATCATTTAATTGCACTTTTACTTTCTGTTTCATCCATGTCTGCTATTTTAAAATATTTCTTCTACTTTCTTTGGGCTTATTCTATTTTCTTTTCCTAACATTTTAAGGTGGATGCTTATCACACTAATTTTCAGCCTTGTTTCATTCCTAGGATAAGCCTTCAGACTATAAGACTTAATTTGGTTTTCTTTAAATTTGCTTGGTTTCTTATAGTCTCTTGCTCTTTATTCATATTTTCAATCTCTTCTTTTATTTATTTAAACATATTAAACATACTTACTTAATATTTCATAGTCTTTTTCTTATAATTCCAACTTTTGAAGTCTTTGCTTTCTGATTCTGCTATTTATTCCTTCTACTGGCTGTCACTTATGTTGGCCTGTTTTCTTTCAGGTTTTGTGATTTTTCTCTTTTTTTTTTTATACTGTGTACTGTGGTTTTTTTTGGAACTTTACCTGGAAAAATGCTTTAAGGCCTATGTGGTCCTTTAGAGAATTTGCCTCTGCCAATAGCTGCGGGGCACTATCAACCAAGAATGTAGCTACATTCTCTATCTGAAGTTTTTAGATCATCTTGCACAGCACATCCATGCAAGAGCCAGCTGTGGTTATGGATTCTGAGGACAATTTTTTCATCTTTTACTTGACTCAAAGCTGTAAAACAGAAAATTTTCCCTGGAGTCCCCTAAGTGTGAGGAGGGGGGAATATGGTAAGGTTATTCTTAGTTTTCCTCTGCAGTAGCAGTATAGCTGCCTGGTATCCTAGCTTTATTTGGTGGTGGTAGTAAGGTTCTGACTATGCCTCATTTGAGTAGGCCCAGACTTCTGTCTCTTTTCTTTGATGTCCTTGTGGCTATGAAAACCAGGGCTCAAGTTCATCTATCTAAAAATTGCCAACAAGAATAAATAACCTGATATCGTTTAGTTGTGCCCCCACCCAAATCTCATCTTGAATTGTACCTCCCATAACTCCCACGTGTCATGGGAGGGACCCAGCAGGAGGTAACTGAATCATGGGGGCAGGGCAGGTCTTTCCCATGCTGTTCTCATGAGAGTGAATAAGTCTCATGAGATCTGATGGTTTTATAAAGGGCAGTTCCCCTGCATACACTCTCTTGCCTGCTGCCATGTAAGACATGACTTTGGTTCTCATTTGCCTTCTGCCATGATTGTGAGGCCTCCCCAGCCATGTAGAACTGTGAATTCATTAAACCTCCTTCCTTTATTAATTACCCAGTCTTGGGTATGTCTTTATCAGCAGCATGAGAACAGACTAATACATAACCCATACTCTACTTATCATACAAGCTCCCTGCTATGGCTTAGCTTTGACCCTTGAGGTTCTTTCTTACTCAAGAGCTCATGTACATTTTAAAATGTATGTCTAATAAATATATTTCATTCAGCATTTTTTGTTGTTTTCAGCAAGAAAACTGACATAAACAACAACAAGCTACTGACAACATCAGGTGAGCATGAACAAGAATGAGACTCCCATGTTCAGAAGGGTTCAGGTTGCACAACTTAGTAAAAAGGTTTATATGAATGGAAATCCCATTTGCAAGAAGTCAGACTACATCAGGGAACAAAGAAGCTTCATCTTGCTAGCCAGATCTAAAGGATTGGTAGTAGCTAAACAAAAAATGGTCTTGAGAAGTCTTCTGAGTATGCATAAAGATTCACTGGAAAAAAATCGTGACTGCTTATCAGTATGCCCAGGTATATGTGAGCACGTGAGCACTGCTCAGGTATGTGCAGTTTCTGAAACACATTATTTCTGTATTACTTAATGAATCATGAGTCTCTGGTCATTTTTACGTGGAACAAAAATAAGAAGTTCTCTCTGAGATGTAACAAGAATACAGTATAAAAAGAGGGAAAATCAGAATTAGGATTACTTAAATGATAAAAGACATTAAAATCTGTTATGATCAGCATGATCAGCACTCTTTTCAGGGCAGGGGGTATGGCCCCAAATCATATCCAGTTGTAGTTGACAGCAAAGTTTATAGTTGATTCCACATATGAAATGGATTCATCTGAAATTAACCTTCAAAAACTTTCAATTCTACACACCTAAGCAAAGATGATGTTTATAGTGAAAAAACTGATTTGTGCTAACTTCCACAAATACCACAGTAGAAAGATAGTGTGGGAGTTGGGGTATTGAGAGGGAAATGTAAAGGAAATAAACTGGATATAGAGAATAGGGTTTAGTCAGAGGGAAGGGCATGGCAGGTTCTACATATATCTCCTTTATTCAATAAAAGTAGATTGATAATGATAAAACTATTTCAGTCTATAAATATTAAATAGGCAGTGACTCTAAATAGCTTTCAGATATTGCTGCCATAAGGCAAATTTTAAATAAATATTTATACAGACAATAACAGAAAAAGGCTTTTCTAAGGGGAATATAGTTACAGGGTAAAAAAATCATATTCTCCCATAAAAATATGCCTTTTGCTTCTTTTACAGTCATAAATTCCATAAAAATGGAAAGTGATGCAATCAAACATACATGAGAACCGAGGCCAGGGAAGGTCTGTCTCTGTGATGGCCAGAAGAAAAGCCAATCGGAATTACATCACATGCTTTATATGAAGTCCATGTGGACATCAGGCACACTTCATCCCGTCTGAAAATTCTTCCCCCACTTCCATCTGTGACACAACCTACACCCTGAAAAAAACAGTCTGCCAAGGAAAACAGCTTCTTTTTCACTACAGATATGATTCTCATGTCTAGAAAGTGATATGCTTACTATCATGCAGTTTGGGTTATGAGGTTTGTAATCTATCAGAGGTTTATAAGAAAATGTGTTACAAATTCAGAATAAAGGAGGAGATCTAAGACAGCAGATCAGCGTCTCTGGCAAACACTGGAAACAGAGGGAGCAGCTAATATAGAAATACTGGAATGAGTAGATGAAAAATGTGTTAGACCAGGAACAAAGCCTTGTACAGAAAGGAAATGCCATTATTCTTTCCCTACCAGAGAAACAATTATATATTTTGTATGTTCCATTCTCTGAGGCTTCATAGAACTCTTGAAAGTAATTCGTGCTTTCCATGGCCTCTGAGATTCGGCTCTCACAGTTTGATTCCTCTAATCTTTCAGTGTTGGGTAGGAATTGGAGTTTCCAATGGGAGAGTTGCACATCTGAGATCTCCCAGAGGCTCAGTTCTCAGAGACAATGTACATGTGCCAAAGGACTTCCAAGATGCCAGGATTTCTACCCTGGCTGACTATGTTTAGTATTCCTGCCTTCACACAAGCTGAGTTTTGCAACCCACCTTATACCTTTCCAAAAATATTATATCATGGTTTTTCTATGATGTCATATTTGTAAAAGCAATCCAGGCATTCACTGCTATTTAATTTAACCACAGAGCTTTCAAGAGGCCCTACCAATTCCAACTACCTGCTCTGGATCAAAATGGAAGTGTACCTCCTTCAACATGGCTATTTAAAATACTTCCTTTCCCTCCAATCTATATGATTTATTCATTTTAATAAGTAATGTAAGCAGCATTCCCAGGCTCAAATGAGGAATCACACTCCTCACTCAAAGTAGGAGAACTGGGCTGAGTGTGGTGGCTCACATCTGTAATCGCAGTACTTTGGGAGGCTGAGGCAGGCAGATCACTTGAGCTCAGGAGTACAAGACCAGCCTGACCAACATGGTAAAACCCAATCTGTACTAAAAAAAATACAAAAATTAGCTGGTGTGGTCATGTGCACCTGTAATCCCAGCTATTCAGGAGGCTGGGGTGGGAGAATTGCTTGAACCAGGGAGGTGGAGGCTGCAATGGGCCAATATTGCACCACTGCACTCCAGCCTGGGTGACAAAGTGAGACCCATTTCAAAACAAACAAAAAAAAACAAGTAAAGGAATTAAGAAATAAGTAATTAATGACAGGAAACATTAGCAAATAAATGTTATAGTTTAATCCAATAAGAACATTCTTTCAATGGAGAAAATATTAAAAACTGACCCTCACTAGTACATTTTAGCTAATTTTAACAGTAAAAGGGGTAGCTGCATAACATTGTAAGAATTCATTTTATTTGTATTTCTTAGAAATCCATTTTTCCCATTAGTCAAGTTAAATATAACACTTATTATTTGGTTATACTTTTTCAATAATAATGTTTATAATTTTAAGCTACTTTTTTGAGCCAGGTACTTTAACTACAATATTTCATTTTAATCTTCATTTAGTCCATCTGAACCATCCTGTAAGGTTGGTGCTCTTGCCCCTATTTTATAGAAGAAAGTATGGTCGAGTGACTTTGGTCACTCCTGAAGGCACTCCCTATGCAGCTGGCAAAGGGAGGCTGGAGACTTGCTGGAGTCTGCCTTTGTCTTCAGTCTGCACTCTTTCCACCTCCCTCCACTCCTTTCCTCAAACATTCTTCTGACCTGACCACTTTTGGAACCATTAAAAGTAACTAACCATTAAAAGTTAAATCTAACTCAAGGATTGATGGTCTCTCAGACAAATGTGGGCTAATAAAGGTCACGACTTGCTGAAGATCATATAAATGTTTTATTCACCTGGACAGAGTCCATGATGAGGGGCAGAGTTTACAAATTTCATGACATTTTCAGCTGTAGAAGTGGCTTGAACAATCTCCCATTGTGGAATAACAGAGTCAGAAGGAAAAGTTTAAGCCAAAACAACAATTTCCCCCAAACTTCTTGAGTTCACTGGTATCTGTGCCTCTGGACTTCATTCCCAGAATGATTTGGGCACTGTCTGCAGGTCACCCTAGTACTGTGATTGCCGAACCTCAGCTCAACTCTCTGAGAGAGAGAGACTGCAAGAAACAAACCAGAAGGATGGACTGAGCAGGGAAACCCATCCTGCATTTTGAAGCTGTCCCTGGTTTCATTCAAATCCACTGGACAGTCCCCTCATATCTCAACACCTTGATCCACATTTTCAGCACAATCTCAACATCTAGTTAGAGATGGAAACTTGACAGAACTAAGCAGTTTTGTGTTTTTTCCTTAAGGAAACATGCATGCATACACACACACACACACACACACACACACACACACACATCGTGGTTAAGTAAACACTAGATAGATATCATTATTTCCTCCCTATAACTTGCAAACTCAGCAAGGAGTATGCACATATTTCACAACTGATAAAAATCATTTAAACATTTTTCTCTCCTCTCCCACTGCTTTCTCACAGAGGTTTGCATTACTCTAACTCTGCTGCACTTCATAAAGCAACAAACAAGATTAAAACCTAGAACAAGAGAACAGGCACATTTAAGAGCAAGTGGTAGAAAAAAAAATTTTTTTAATTGATATGGTTATTAATTTCAGAAGGAAAATGATTTAAACAGAGGAAGAGATAAAAGTATCTCAGTCTCAAAGACCTATTTGGGCTATTCATAAATTTAATAATTATGCATATGTAAAAATAATAGATACTCAGGTGCTTGGTCCATTTAAAGCCCCAAGTTTATTTTTGAAAAATACAAGCCAAAATCTTTAAAACTGACAATAACAATATAAACTAATGGAGCAGGTTACTCAAAAATATTTTATAAAGATTCCATAGCAATAGATAATAATAATAATATTAATACTATTATCAAGAACAATGCCTGACATTTGATGGATACTTTCTAGAGATCAGACAAGGGACTAATGTCTTTAAATGAATAATCTCTTGGAATCATCAGACCAACCCAATGATGTAGGTATTTTTCTTAGCCCTATTTCATGGATAAAGAAACTGAGGCTTAGGAAAGTTTAATGATTTAACTAAATGGCAGCACTGGGACTCAAAACTATTTATGTCTTAAATGCTATGCTAAAACCAAAAGAGCTTAATAACTTTTTTTCTTTTTAAAATATAGCCTTGCTCTGTCGCCCAGGCTGGAATGCAGTGGTATGATCTTGACTCACTGCAACGTCCGTCTCCCGAGTTCAAGTGATTCTCCTGCCTCAGCCTCCTGAGCAGCTGAGATCCATGCCTGGCTAATTTTTGAATTTTTTGTAGAGACGGGATTTCACCATATTAGCCAGGCTGGTCTTAAAGTCCTGACCTCAGCTGATCTGCCCACCTCTGCCTCTCAACCTAATAACATTTAAATGAGTTAAATTGGCTTGTAGTAACAATACATTTTGAGACAGTCACCTTCTAAGAGACGCAAGAAATTTGGCAACAATAGCAACTTCAAAAAAATAGCAAACTTATAATGATGGTGGAAATTTGGAAAAGAGTTGACTATAAATATATTAATTCCCAAGAAAAAGAAACACCAAAGGAACTCCTAATTAAAGCCTGAACCTCTCAGTAAGGAGAAATTCCACCAAAGGCTTTCTCTGATTGCTTTTTGGAAGCTATATGACTAAAACAAAAATCTTATGCATTCTCCTTTTTTGTCCAGATATTAAATAATATCACATAAAGCATATTATATGAGTATTTGAGAAAAGTACATATGTAGACTGTAACTTTCTAGTCACATTAAGAACATAAAAGTTTATAACCCTGGACCGTACCTTGGTCTTCATAAACTTGGAGTGACTTTTGTAAACCTCAATTTGTTTGATCTCTTCTTCACGGTCCTCAGTGTTCAGCACACCATTGGCTTTTAACATCTGGATCTCATCCTCAAGATCCCTAATGTTTCGCTCCAATGAAGCGATTTTTGTGTCCTGTTGGTAAAGAAGAAAAGAAAAATAAAAATAAAGAATAAAAATTATTTTTAAGATCATCAAAACAGAATTTAAGAAAGTAATTTTGGTAGTGCTGTTACACATTAACCATGGTGTAGATATAGCCCCGAATTCAGGACAGTTTACTTGTTTCACAGCTGAGGATCATTTGTGAAATGATGGTTTAAGCTCCCAATCAAGATCAAGTGTAAATACAATACAGAGAATTACCTAAATATGTTTGTCTAATATCTGGGAATCAAATTACCAAAGCAACAGTGATAAAAGTAATCTAAGTGTTAAAAAACAAAACAGAACACCATGTAAGTGAACAGATTTTAATTTGGGTTACAGTTTACTAGTGTATATTTTTGAATCCACTTATAAACACAAAAATCGTTTATGTGTATATTTCATGGCTGATTTTTGTAAGGTATGCTTGGAATTTGAGTCTGAGAGAGAAAGAAATTCAAATCTACTAATGGGAAAAAGGATTCTCATCTAAAATACAGACATAAGTGAAACTAAATAACTGAATCTTGACTTGTATGACTGATACACTAAATATTGAAAATTTATAGTGATTAGAAATAATACATCACAATGTCATAATTCATTTGGCAAGCAGTCAGGTCCCTATGTTACAAAACACATGACTACCTTGCAGGGCATTTCAACCTATTGATTTATGGAGCTAGCAACTAGAAATATTACACTCAGATGTGGAATTAATTGGGAAAAGTTACCAATGACAGACTCTATACACAAGATAGAGCATGAGAAACAATGCATTAGAAAATAGTGAAGAGAGCGCTCTCATAGGGGAACCAAAACAAAAAAAACATGGCAAAAAATTTTCCACAACAGTAGTATTAGGCTTCAACTGGTCTTTGGAATGAAAGCATCACACATCAAAAACTGACTTCAGGCTTTCTCAGTGTCACATCTGCCCACCATTTTATCGCACAGAGTTAAGGAGCTCATATTAAATTTGTAACTGAATGCTAACACAGAAGGATCTACTGATTTTTTAAAACAATTCATTTTCTCAGAATCAAAAAGACTCAGAATTCCAAAAGTAAAGATAATTAATAGGCTATTCTATTCATAAGTAACTCATTTTTAAACACTTTGCAACAAATGTGTTGGTCCTGACTTTAGGGCTACTGTCTACTTTATTTTCCTATATTTTATGCCCAATGGCATATCTCCTATGGAAATAGAATAATTACCATTGTTATTATCATTAACATTGTCATCATGTTAAAAGGAGGAAAAAGGAGAAGCAACTCTATTATGTGCCAAGAAGTGAGTACTCTAAGTTTTGTAGACACTTTTATGAATTCTCAGAAAAACTTCAAGAGATGAAATAAAAAGATTTTGAAAATTCCAAGATTATTAGGAAATGGAACATTCCACAGTATTTCATTTTCCTTTAAAAATAATACGTATTTTATTTTTCAGTTGTAAAAGCAATATACTTTGAATTCACAGAAAATGAAGAAAACCTCCTCTAATCTTACTGTCTAGAAATAACTACCATTAATGTTTTTATGTATATTTGGCCAGTATTTTTCTATTTAGATGCCATTTCTGGAAATCTTGTATGCTACCAGTTTAAATTTTAAAAAATGTTATGGACTGCATGTTGTGTTTCCCAAAAATGTGTATGCTGAAACTCTAACCCTTGATGCGATAGTATTTAGAGATGGGCCTTTAGTGGGTAATTAGGACTAGATGAGGCTAGGAGAGTAGGGCCCTGGTAATGGGATTAGAACCCTTCTAAGAGGAGACATCAGGGAAGGCTCATTCTCTCTCCACCAAGAAATGACATAGGGAGAATGCAGCTATCTACAAGCCAGGAACAGAGTCCTGACCAGAGCCTTCTCATGCTGGCACCCTAATCTCAGCATTCTAGCCTTCAGAGAACTGTGAGAAAAACAAATCTCCATTATTGAAGCCAACCATTCTATGGTACTTTGCTAAGACAGCCAAGCTCACAAATATAGGGAGTGATACTTAGAGACTTACTTGGGTCTCTATGAGAACGCCATAGATAAAAAGAAAGATAATAATGGAAGTGCCATAGAAAAACAACCTCTAGAAGTTGATAAAAGACTTTCCAAGTGAGTAAGAGTCATTTCAAATCAATATGCTTCAGGCTATAAAATCAAGAAAGACTCAATATACAACAATTGAAAAGCTATACAGATAATTACGATTATTCAGAATCCCACCACTCAGATATACCTACTATTAATATTTGTATTCATTCCTATGAAAGCCTTAAGATTATATTTTTACCTTAAAACATACAAAAAGATATTTCAACTAAAACTGTAATCAGTATGATACAGATTTCTTCTATTGAGATACAAATTGGCTGTATATTTACAAATACCTGAGTGTAATATTTAAGAGTTTACAAATAGCTAAGTACAATCTTTAGAACTGAACTGTAAAGTAAGTGTGAAGGTGAGGGCCAATATCCCAGCTCTTCCTACGTAAAATTTCCTAGGATTTTCACCTCAAATCTAAGTGACCATATTAATGTGTACGTATGTATACCTATATACCTATGTAAATATATTTGTAGTATGTCTGTGTGGCACAACACACTTTGAAGTCTTCACATCTTAGACCTTAATTTTTTCATAACACTTAGTAGAATTCCAACTCCCAATCATGGAGGCAAGAAGAGATGACTCTACTTCCTCACAAAGCTCAGTTTTCCTCTCAGTAAACTCCTGAGGCTTTAGTGAGCAAGGACGTCAACTGCCAACTTCTAAATAAATGGCTTAGAAGAAACTTTTCAATGGATTCAAGAAATACATACTGCTAAAGAAAGATCAGAACTGGGTTAAGATAGAAAGTTTCTTAATACAGCAAAGCTTCTTGACATCTAAGTTGAAATTTCACCAAATGGTGAAACATATTTTGAAAACATTTTTTACTTTTCTTAATTTTCTCAAATTAAGCAACACCCTTCTTTTCCCTCACAAACTTCTTTCTTCTCTCACTCTGTTGCCCAAGCTGGAGTACAGTGGTGAGATCTCAGCTCACTGCAGCCTCCGCCTTCCAGGTTCAAGTAATTCTCATGCCTTAGCATCCCAAGTAGCTGGGATTACCAGTCTGTGCCACCACATCCAGCTAATTTTTGTATTTTTAGTAGTGATGGGGTTTCACCATGTTGGCCAGGCTAGTCTTGAACTCCTGACTCCAAGTGATCCACCCACCTCAGCCTCTCAAAGTGCTGGGATTTACAGGTGTAAGTCATTGTGCCTATATTCCTGTTCTTATATAAAAGGTCAATTTCAAGGGCAACAGAACTCATGGCTCACATCATAAGCACAGAGAAAAGTAGGTAGGAAAATATCATTAGGATTCAAAGAATCAATACAAAAAATACAGATATATCAGATGGTTTGGGGTTGTGCCCAAGAAGATATTCAAAATGCCAAGCCAGAGAAGGACTGAGGAAATACAAGCAGGAAAATTAAAAGCAAGCAAAATGGCTACTATATCCACCGCTTTTCAACTGCCTCAGTCCAAAGAATTCAGAGAAAAAATATTGTCATTTTCTTTTTTAAAAAATCTCTAACATTAAGGCAAATGACTAAAACCTTATATGTATAAGGAGGACTATGGAAATCCACATCAAGTCCTGATATGGCTGAATGTGATATACAGATGTTGAGATACTAAACGCACATGGCTCAGAAACTCAACACACTAATCTAAAATAGAGAAAAAAGAAAACCTTAAAGACATATCAACATATAACTTTCTGAAAAGTGGAGTTTCAGAGGTAAAGCAACATTTTACTGCCTAATCACCAAGGAGTTTTCTTTATCTGAACCTTTTTATGAGTTATTTTTGACTGATATTTTTAAACAATATATGTAGTGATTTTCAAACACACATCTTAATTATATTTCACAAATAAACTAGCTCTAGAAGCAGATCATTGTGGTGCTTCCTTATAGACAGGGAAAGTGAAATATAATATACAGTAGCTTTTCCCAAAGTTTACAGAACCCAAATGCTCCGTGAAAGGGGGGTTGCGGGGTCATGTACCTTTGAGAAATGCTTATTAGGAAATCTGAATGCACATTAGCATGAATGGCTCTGGGAAGCCCTGCAGCAAAACATTCCATTGAACTTTATCACAGTTTTACTACCTCTAGAAGCCAATTCCTGATAAAACTTTAGGCCTATAATAATCATATTAAGCTCTGGGTGATATTACTAAACTGAAGAGTCAAAATAATAATTTGGATTCTTCAAGGGAAAACTTGTCACAATCACCCCTTATTTAAAATGAAGTAAGGACGGCTGAATATCTAGATCATCTTGTTAGTTTCTGTCATTCAAAAGTGGTTTACTGAGCTCCTGTTCTAAGCCCAGCACTTCACACGACATCAGTGAAAGAACAGATGTGGACCCCCATCCTCCTGGAAATATTACCTCATCCCTCAGGTAATATTTTTTAAATAGTCTTGAGATAGGGCAACCATGAAATTGTGTTGTTATTATATTTTGGTTATGGATTGTAAGGATGTGGAAAAAAAATTTCAGGGAAAAAATAAACATCTAAAAAATATTTGCTTAGTTAGGATAAGAAGATCTCAATTGAGTGTCTCTTTTAAATCATTTATTTCTACACATTCATAAAGTAATACTTAGAAAAATTTTATGCATAAATTGTAGATCATAGCTTCTACTTAAAGATTCATACCCAAGACTATTTTACATCCACCATCCAAAAAAACCAAAATAGGTATTTGATGAGCAACTAATAAATAAAACACTGGAATTGAACCCCAGAAGCCATTTACCCACTGGGCCCACCTGCTAATGTTTAAGGCAGCCACAAATACTAGCATTAGCCCATGAGGGCTGCAGTTATAGTAATGCAGATGAAAGTGGAATGGAAAGATTGACATAAGTTTATTTCTTCCTTCTCTCTCTCTCTTTTTTAACTATCTCTAGATTTCTCT